GATGGTAGTGGGTCTGCTGGGTGCGCGAGGAGGCTGCGGGCTGGCTCCGTAGGGCACACTGAGCTCTGTCTGCAGTCACTGTCGGAGTCAGTAAGCATTTGTCAGTCACTGGGACGTTTCACCGGCCCTGGCTCAGGTCTTTGTAACAGTTAATGTATGTGAGGATTTGGTTGTGAGCTGTACTGTAATTGGGCAGTTTTGTTTGTATTTTTTTCTCTTTAGTTCTCAGGGTGTCACAATTAGTCTGAATACCACATCTGGCATGGTGACATCATTCGAGCTGTCTGACAACACTAATGACCAGTCTGGAGAACAGGAATCCGAGTATGAACAAGGAGAGGATGAACTTGTTTATCACAAGTCCGATGGCTCTGAATTATATGCGCACGAGTACCCAGAAGAAGGACAGTATGAAGGCCATGATGCGGAGCTGGCAGGAGAGCACATTGAGTATGTGGACGAGCCCGAGGAGGGGCAGCTGTACAGTGACGAGGTGTTAGACATCGAGATCAATGAGCCTCTGGATGAATTCACAGTGAGTCTTTCTTCTTTGTATGGCCAAAGATAACATGGCTGCCTGGGCATAGGCTTCTAGACTGATTTGAAATCTATTTCCCTCCCTTGGGAGGGAGGGAAATTAGACCTTATTATCACTGTCTGCCAGCTCCTTTATCTGAGCTATGACAAAGTTTGTGTTGACAGCTTGTTTGGCTGAAGGTAATGCTCCTTTGTCATCTGGAAGGCTTCACAGAATCGTGACCTTGAGGATCTCACCCTGAGGAAGGGAGCAGCTTTGTGTGGTGGAGACACACTGTCAATTGTTAGAAGTACTTAATGCAGAGCTTTTATCCAGGCTTTAGACAAGATCTGATAAAGTCCTTCCAAGGTGAAAAGATTATCGACCTGCTGAAGACATCTTGCTAGGTGCTGGTATTCCACAGCGATCGATGTCCTGTTCATTCACCCTTTTTTTGTAGCTGAGAACTGTCTAAATATGAATAAAGAGATTGGAGGTTAGTTTTGGAAATGTCACACATAACTTGTTATCTGTAATCAGGAAGCAACGATTGTGCTGATTTTTATTTCAGAAAGTGATTTTGGTAGGTAGGTCAAGAAAGAAAAAGGTACTAGTGAACAGTTGCTCAGCTGTCGTGTTGATTCATCATTAAAAGAGATCTTAACACAAGCAGTTAATGAAAAGTATGTGGGGAGGATGTAACCTCTGTGTTGTAGTGGAATGTTAGGGTTTCAGGACACTGGGTCACACTGATGGGCAGTGTCAGCGGGGCTTTGGGTTTGGGCGTGCGCAGAGGTAGGGGTAATAGGTCTGCCTTTATCTCTGTGTCTATGTTCAGAGGAAGCTTGTGTTTGAGGGAAAGTTCAAAATTTGCTTAATTTCGGTCATTGATGTATAGGTGTAATTTTGAAAGAAATTGTGTACATGAAACTCCAGAATATTTGGTTCCAGTCCTGATTTTCATGTATCTCAGTAGTTAGTTTTTTTATTATTATGGTATCATTAATATACAATCACATGAGCAACATTTTCGTTACTAGATTCTCCCCCCATTGTCAAGTCCCCATTACAGTCACTGTCCATCAGCATAGCAAGATGCTATAGAGCCACTACATGTCCTCTCTGTGCTGTACTGCTTTCCCTGTGGCCCCTCCCTACATTATGTGTGCTAGTCATATTGCCTCTTAATCCCCTTATCCCTCCCTTGTCCCTCCGTCCTCCACAGTCCCTTTCCCTTTGGTAACTGTTAGTGCATTCTTGGGTTCTGTGAGTCTGCTGCTGTTTTGTTCCTTCAGTTTTTGTTTTGTTCTTATACTCCACAGATGAGTAAAATCATTTGGTATTTGTCTTTCTCTGCCTGGCTTATTTCACTGAGCATAATGTCCTCCAGCTCCATCCATGTTGTTGCAAATGGTAGGATTTGTTTTCTTCTTATGGCTGAGTAATATTCTGTTGTGTGTATGTACCACATCTTCTTTATCCATTCATCTACTGACGGACACTTAGGTTGCTTCCATTTCTTGGCTATTGTAAATAGTGCTGCTGTAAACATAGGGGTGCATATATCTTTTTTGAATCTGAGATCCTGCATTCTTAGGATAAATTCCTAGAAGTGGAATTTCGGGGTCAAATGGTATGTCTATTTTGAGCTTTTTGAGGAACCTCCATACTGCTTTCCACAATGGTTGAACTAGTTTACATTCCCACCAGCAGTGTAGGAGGGTTTCCCTTTCTCCGCATCCTTGCTCAGTAGTTATTTTTATGATTCTTCTGAGTACCTTCTCTTAAGTAGATAGAGTAATGAAAAAAATAGTTTTGGTAGATAAGTCATGTGAAAGGCATCATAGCTGCTTTCTGCTAACTACAGTAGTTTTGGTAATAAGTCCTTCACTGGTGTGGACAAGTGCTCTGGTTTACTATCTTACAGTGGGATGCGATGTTTTAAAGTGCTTCTTAAAAATTAAGCCAAGATATTTAAAAAATGTGCCCAGTTATTCCCTAGTTGTTTTTACTGCCTGTCAGTAAGATACGGTGATTGGTTAATCGTATCTGGGTCCTTTTCCCTTGTAAGTATAGCAGTTCAGCAAATCTTCAGTGATGCCTCAGCACTGAGGACAGAGATGCTGCTGAATGGGAAGCCTGAAGCTGGCCCTGCCTTCTGCGGACTCGAAAGCTAGTGGGACGCACCACAGTGTGCAAAGTGCTTGACAGTGCCAGTGGGCATGGCCACATTGGAGGCTTTTCTCACTGTGGTATTGTTCCAGAGTTTGTTGGAAAAAGAATTTCTAGTTAAAATGAAGAATTTCCCTCTTGAGTTTCATTGTCAAACTTGAGGTCACATTGAGGCCCCTGGCTGTATAAAAGCCAACTTAATTATCTAATGTCTTGTGGCCTAAGATTGAGATATTAAAAAGAAAAAAATGTGGCAATTCAGTATACTCAGTATTTTTCCACATTAAAATTAATTAATGTTTTTCAGAATTAAAAAAATCTTAATAAGTAAAAATGTTTTGCTTAGGAATTCTGTAAATGTCCTAGTATTTTCACAAAGACTTAGAAACTTTAAAAGTGAGGTGAAGTAGTTAAGCGTCTTTCTGTAGGCAGTATCAGCTCACCTCAGTACATCTAGCTTCATAGCCATGGTCATTCTTTTCTTTGTTTCGCCCCTATTTAAATGACTGGTTTCTTTATAGTTACCACGGTGGCAGACCGGTGTTAGTTCTCCTTTGGCCGGGCAGAGAGTGATAGGCTGAAGCGGAAATGCTCCTCTGCTCTGCAGTGGGGGCCTCTCGCTGACTTAGGCTGTCAGTGAGCACAAATTAATTATTCATTATCGGACTAACCAACACGTGAGTCGATTGCACCCCTTTGTGTCCCAATGGTTTTTCAGTTTATTAAATGATTTATTTAGCTGGTTTGTGTTCTAGTTAAGGTTTGTTAACTGGTACTCTACAGCTGGAATGGAACACTGGGAGATGCTATTGTGAGCATGTGTCGTCTGTTTGAATTCTCTGAAAACCGCATGGAGGGATTTTGGGTATAACTGGGAATGAAATCATAAAACTGCAGAAATGTACAATTGGAAGGGCCACTTTTTTAAACAGGAAGAAACAGGGCCACATGAAAAAGCTGGTAGTGCAGCTCTGTCAGTTGGAAGTAGCAGATCCTTGGGAATTTTGGTTATGTTCTTGAGAATCAATTGAGATGTGACCTAAAAACGTGTACACTTGTATTAGGAAGAGTGGTGTATTAATATTCAAAATACTAGAAAATTGTCAGGTGATTTATACTTTCAATCATAGTTTACTTAGGACCTTTAAAATTAGCATGGATTGCGATTTCATAAAACATTTTCCTGTAAAGAGTTTCCAGAGTGATATTTATGTAAAGGTAACACTGTTTCCCAGTGAGGATTCAGTACTGTATGCTGTTCTCCATCGCATACTGGCCAAGAAGTCTGATCAGCTTCATCTGGCCGAATCTGAAACCTGACGTTCTGCCATCAGCAAAACGTGGGTAGTGACAGTTGCTCTTACTGACAGGATGCTAGCACTTTCTTCTAGAAGTAAAGTGCAGTGTGTTCAGATAGTCTTAGAGACACAGTTGGGAACTGAGGCGGTTTGTGAGAATTAGGCTGGTTTGTCACCCTAACTGTGGTGGCTTTTTATGGGTCTGTGAGTGGGAGTGTCATATACTACACAGTGAGTAAGTTGTTAAGGTTCCGTAGCCTGTTTTCTTCTGGTTGCGTGCCTTGTAACCACCTACTGTCCATCTCAGTGAGCGGCCGGCGACTGGAAGTTCAGCTCCCCTGGGTAGGGTCCCGTCTTGTGACTTGGTACTAATACTTTTAGGAACCTTTCTTTCTCTTGCAGTTGTCCTGCATCCTTCTTTCCATGTGCTTTTAAAGGGATTCCCACCTACTGAAACACCCCTTATATTTCTTAAAAACCCGAAGCACTCCTCTTTTTCAGAGCAGGGCTGATGGAGAAACTAATTGTATTGTGAATTTCAAAATAAAGTTAACGTTGAACTTGAATTTTGTTTTCTGTAGCCATACGAATGATTCACGTTGGACATGATTCTAGCACCCTTGCCATTGCTGAGCTGTTGTGCTCGATGTGAGCACATGCACACTTTGTTTTTGAGATTACTTTTCCTCAGTGTTGGTTTTAGGAAGATCTGTTTATCAGGTACTTCAAGTTCGACGCCCTTAGCGACTGGGTGCGTGCTCAGCACCCCGTAGGGGAGGGGGCATTCTCTGGTGCTTGGTGCTTCCTGCTCAGTCAGGTAGTTGCTGCAAGGAAAATTTACTGAAACAGTTGAGCCTGAGTTACGAAGATGGAAAGTGCTTTAAACACCCCAAAAGCTATATGAGACCATGTTTGGTATTTGATGGCCGTTGGAGTGAAGAATACTTAAAGGCTTGTGGACAGCAAAGGCTGTAAGAGCAGGAAGATGTCTGCTGAAGATGGATTAGGTGACATTACTGATTCCTGGCTTGCTCTGAAGCCCAAGAGGTATTTGTTCCTCTTTTAAAAAGAGTCCACAGGGTTGATCATTTTTTTCTTCCAGATTTAAAACAAGCATCTTTTTAGCATTCGTGAAAAGTTGATACCTCTCTTCTTTGAACTATGAGTGTAGTAAAAATTGAGCTTTCCGGAATCTTTGGGCAGTGTGTTCTGGGAGCTGTGATTTCCACATAGCTCCTTACTTTTGAAGTGTTAAGAGTATTTTAAATGTATTGTGGGAGTGTGGGGAGAAATCTTTGGAAAATGTGATATATGTGTTAGTGCTTTGAAAAGAGTGCTGTGATTATTTTAAATTAGTTAACATTAGCTAATTTTGACCGTTATTCAAAAAATACCACAAGGTTCCCTGTATTTAGGTGCTGTCTTGACTGTTGAGAAAATGAGAATGATGGAGAAGCTTGATTTCTGTGCTCAAGGAATGTGCAGTCTGTTGAAGGGGCGAGAAGAAGACCTGTGGGCAGATTGCTGTGCTGTAAACTTAAAAAGTCA